GAGCCACCGCATCTCCGTCTTCACCTGCGCTGTCTTCTGCACTCCGGCTTTGGTAGCATGATGGGTTTAGGGATAATGGAAAAGAAAATGGAAACTACCATAGTATATTGGGGTTTATATAAGGATTATGGAAAAGAAAATGGAAACCTTGCGAAATGCATTCAAGGTGCCATTATTATTATTATTGTTGATGTTATTTCGATTGTTGCGGTCGAAGAGGGAGTCGGCGATGACGTAGAAGCACTTGGAGGTCATGAGTGTCACCTACGAGCCATGCTAGGTCTGGGGGGTCCACCTAAGTTATCCCAAAATTAGGGGTTTATTGGGGTTATATTGGGATAATGGAAAATAAAATGGAAACTACTATTTAGGGTTAAGGGATTAGGGCTTAGGAATACGGTGTCAACAATGCAGAAGCAAATGGAAGAGACAATGGAACATGAAATGGGTACTTGGTTTATGAACGAGTCAATACAAGTACACTAACCGCGTGAAGAGCAGGAGCCTAAATGGTGTAAACTCACGGACAAAACAGGCTTAATGCAGATTTTGCTGTTGTTGCTCTTCTGTGGGGTGGCTCAAAATGAGAAGCCGTCGATCCCCAGGATTAGACAAGACCCGTTCCGAGAAACTCCACATCACAGCCAAAGGACAATTATATCCATCGGTATACCTTGGAACAAAGGCTGCATAGCGAAACAAAGAACAATGGCTCCAAGAACAAAACCTCAGAGGGAGGCCCTGTACTTGGCAGCAGCATCAGGCTAAAAGCCCGCCTGGGAAGAAGTCGAAAGCATGCTGGAAGCCATGATGACGATGTTCCTTGACCTGTGCCACGCGGGTTAGGGTTTAGGGCCACAAGCATGGCTTTTTCCTACTGATACATCCTGCAGACGCTCGTCTGCGGATCCATGCGTGCAGAATCAGCGGCTAGGCCATGAAGCTACTAATCCATTCCACAGCCTAATGGGGTTTAGGGGGTTCAAAGATGGGATGGTGCCAGGACTGCTAAAGCATCTCAGGATAGAATTCAAAGGCCCCAGACCCCGATAAGGAAATCTCCTTCAAATATGAACATATAGAAACCCAGAAATTCGTGCAGGGTGGAGCCCCCAAGGAAACTATCTGACATCTCTTCAGCATACTTCGGCCAAGTCACAAGGTATAGGAGGTAGTTGTGCCAAAGAAGGCACTCGCACACTCACACGTGGCTGAGAGATGAGCTGCGGTGACCAATGGCATCTGCCTCTCCCCCTCAAAAGCTACGGTAGATGAACAAAATCCTGCATGGCACGATTTACCTACAGCCTAGGCATTATGGTAACTGTAATATATTATGGAGGGCTATGCAGGATGTCGACATTCAACCACAGGCACCCTTTAGCAGGGCACCGAATACAGGACACTTGCAGCACGGAATGGGAGTCCAGCCTGCAAAACCAGCTCCACGCGTAAGAGGTTTCAGCACAACGCTAGAGCAAATGAATGTTTAAAATCAGGATGTATCACACCTCCTTTCCTGCAGCGTGTGTTGTGCGCAGAGAGCATGTTGGAATCTGCCTCAAATGTCACCATCCTTTTCTAGGCACGCTCGGGGTGGATACCTTATAGGCGAAAGGCTATCTGTTGTTTTGCACAATTCCTCGGCATCTTACCTTTACCTCATGTACATGGGTATCCAGTTGAGGTCTCCAGGCAACAATAGGAACCGGTAGTGAAGGGCTGCCACACATCTAGCTGAAAACCAGTACCAAGTCACACTGCACCCGGGCTGATAGGGAACCAGGCGGCAGCTGCAACTTTTCCTTGCTTTGGCTGGCAGGCCAGATTGTTGCAACTGCCATCCGCACGGGGATGTCCACAAAAAGCGCGACAAGCAGCGAGAGCCTTCAGGAAAGGATTCTCAAAACGGAGATTTACAGACTGAATCAATTGTACCCCGTCGGAATCCAAAGTAAGGACCCAAAGGACGAGTGAGAGAAATCTACAGGTGTCCCCATCGTCCCTTAGCCTTCTGTACGCTGAGAAGCCCGCGATATGATCCAACGATGCTGAGGATAAACAACGTCCGAACATGATCAAGCATGATCACACTGCGTAATTGTCACGTTGTGTGCAACCACTCTGTCCAGCTCTCTGAATAGCTACTAGCATTCAACACAGGCCGCTCTCTGAAACACACCGCGCAAGTTCATCCCGAAAAGGAGCCCCCCAAGAAGTAAATCGAGTTCTGGTGAGCTACTGTAGGGCCGTGACATGCCGTGGGAACTACATGAGATCTTGGGGCTTAATGTTGCAAAGCACCAGAAGCCCGCAATTGAAGAAACAACTCCCATCAAAGCCCTGCCGAATCTGCGTATCTAAGAGAATATTTGAACATCCAGTTCATCTGAATAGGTAAGAAGCTTCTGCGCAAGTACAGTGTTCCGCAAAACGACCCGGGAAACCCAAACCGGGAAAGGCCCCATCAAAAATACACTCCCATTTCAGTGTTTGACTAGGAAGCTGCAGGACTTTCGAATCCCTGTACCCCAGATTCAGAAAAGAAAAGAAACAACCTCAACTCCAGTCATCTCCGTCCCCTAGCATTGGGGTGTCACAAACTTTTGGTACCCTAGGGGAGCGAGGGATACCGGTATGGCAAGGGGTATAGAGGTATCAAAGGGTGCACAGAACGATTCCGTTGGCATGAAACTCCCCACCTGCAACAGCCGCAATCCTAGAAGAAAATGCCTCAAAAATTTCCATAATTTGTTGGGGTAGTACTTTGAGCGAGGGACCCCTGCATCATCTTCAATCCTATCTCCTGGGAAACTAAGAGTACACACCAAACCGAGATCCTGACATCGCAGACAGCACCGACACGTTCATGAAGTTCCGCATGGCCGTTTGGCCAGACAGTGGCTGCCTTCGTGCATGTAGGGGATATATTGGGATACTGGAAAAGAAAATGGAAGCTACTATTTAGGGTTTAGGGTTTGGCGTGGATCGTAATACTGATTGTAATGTTCAGTCGTGAGGAAGCAGGACTTATCTTCAACGCGAAGGGGTCTGGGTCTCTTGGCCATTGCCAGGAAAGGAATACTTCAGCAACCCTTACACCCTCACCGATACCAAAAAGGTTGAGTGGCCATAAGGTACACCTCTTAGTAAATTCTCAGTGTGACTGAAACACCAGAATACTTCGAGGATGCGTATGTGCCAGGAAGAACCGTGTTTGCCGAAAATACATATCAGATGGTGTTGAGATTGGAGTCAACATGATCGCGATGCAAGCTTATTGATGTAGATCTGCACATGGCATCAGGGCAACTGTAAAACAAAACTTGTGTTGGAACACCATTTCGAGCCTTGATGCAAAACAGGAAACGGTAAACCTGGCTGAAATGGAACTCAACCCGCTCGAGCCCAAAACCGTTACAAGCTGGCTCCTCGATGTTCGTGTGAAGCTCGCCCTCCCGACGCGTTCAGAAGTGCTCTAGGCTTTAGATCCTAAACCCAACTGCGATAGGCCATGGAACGGCTCATCCAAGTAGAAGCCGGCCAGGAAGTGGAAGATGAACAGATTGGAGAGGTTCATCCCCGGGCAAAGACTGGCCCTTGGATTCAAGGCACAGGATTGAGATGGACTGAAGGTTTGGGGTCTGGGGCTTCAGATTGAGGGTTTAGGGTTGGTAAATTGAATACATTCTGGGGGACGCGTGTTTTTCTGTGCCTCGAAGTCCAAGGCCTCAAGCCCCAAAGTCTTGAGGGCTCTGCGATGCTGCTGCTCGAGCTTTGTCATATCTGAGGAAACGAAAGAAGAGACCCAAAAATCGAAACTGTACACACAGGACAGGACTTGCCAACAACCACTACTGTTCATCACTCACTCACATGTACTTGATTTGACTAACCCGCCACCGGGTACGCTCGGGGTCGGACAGGAAAGACACCCATGACCATGGACGCTTCTTGACCTGCTGCTGGCTGGAACTGTCGGCCAAAAGCAGCCGAAATCCGAGAACCTTTGCGGAGGCATTTAGCACCCTAGGGCCAACTCGCAGTCTAGAATCTAGAATGGAACTCAATACGGGTTCCCCCCCATCTTATCCAATGGATTTGGGCAGCGAACATTGCAGATTACCATGAAGCGCTTGATAGGGCAAACCAGTCTTCCGGCAACAAGCTGACTGGGCGTTTGACAAGAGCAGGCCCCTTCTTCAGCCCCGCAGCCAAGAGATTCAGACTTGACAGTGGGCAACTTGAATATTCTTTACTACTATTACGATCATTGCTATTATTGCTTTTTATTATTACCATTATTACCATTATTAGCATTATTACCATTATTCCTATTTTTCCTATTAGTACTACTTTTACTATTATTACTATTTTTACTATTATTACTATTATTACTACCATTTCTATTATTACTATTATTAGTATTACCATTATTGCTGTTATTCCGATTATCAATAGTATTCTTACTATTACTATGATTACTATGATTACTACTATTACTATTGTTACTATTTCTATTGTTGCTATCGTCTAGCTTGAACCTCCAGCTTTGCTGCATAAGCTGAGGCTCGCACGAAAAGCAGCTCCGAAACCTTGCTTCGGCCGCCAGGCTTCCAGCTGTTCTCGGATACCGCATTGTATGGCTAGAAAAGCTTTCGTTGTAAGCATCCTAATCAGTGAACATGATCTTGTGAGGTGCCATGTCTTTTTCATGATGTACTAACCTTTAGGAGTTTGGGGCACAAGTCCAGTCAATACCGACAATTTCGCATTCAAGTGATCTGTAGTTGACTTGCTCAAACAGATGGATCGGATTTGGAGGCTTCCTATCTGATTATAAATCTCTCGTCTCATGAAGAGCATAGCTGTTGGAAGCGAAGCCTTCTTGTCCTTAACCTTGTCCCGGATTTGCATCACTGTTCAGTACAAAGGTGGACGGTACAAGCTGTCAGAATTGCTAGCTGTCGTGTCAAGAGGTCGCGGTCATGATTGTTTGGTGAATCCTCTGCCTCATGCTTCAACATGAAATTCTTACGGCCTGTCAGAGATAAAACTGTTAATTAATGATAAGGATGTGCAATTGCCCTTGAAGCCGCTGAACCAATCAAAACGTTTAGCGCTTGCTACAAAAAGTCAGGTTCAATAACCCATGTCCAGAGCCTTGGTACTGGTAGGAACCCTGCAGCAACACTACGACACCTCAACAGACTTCAAGTGAACATCTTCCCCTTGCCAACCTCTCCAACCCTCAGTCGGGCAACGTGAAACGCGGCAGCTTGCTGCAGAGGCTTCAGCTGGCGCAAGCCCTCTGCAAGTTCACCCAGAGGATAGGTCCACTCCGCCGTCCCGAAGTTCAGAGCATCCTCGAAACATGGTGCCCGAAGTGCTAGACAGGTAATGATTTCAGACCTGGTTTAAAGTATCAACCACTGCAGGGTTTCAAGTGTCCGGAACAGTTACAGTTGAGGATATCAACCCTCAGGGTGCTATGCCAGCTGCAGGAGGCTAAGTCATGTCCGATGACACGGGCTCCTCGCAGTAACATGCATGACGAATGCAACGCGGTTTGCTGACCCCTCCTGGTCTGGACTACCACAACTAAGAAAGGCACGGGATTTCTGTGGTGCAGGCTTGCAGACACGTGTGCTATCCCGTGGTGGCGGCAGCGGACGCCCTACGCCCTCGAAAAGCCACGTACATGTTTGTCTGAAAGCCCTAACGAAGCAACGCCGCGTTCGCCAGTGCGCCTACTCTATCACGACTTCATTGAATTGGACTCGCGCAACCAGAGCAGCAGCAACAGCAGCATGCAACGCGTGGCAAAATGCGCATGGAAGATTCCATGCACCACCTTCAGACAATGGCTTGTGGCTCCTTCAGATAAGGTCAGAAAGCACAAATTCCTTGTAAAGCGAACAGCGGGTCATCCTTTGTTGTCACCCGAAAACAAGAACCGAATCTTGGGAACCCCACAACTATCTGGGACCGCTCCTGCAAACAGGAGGTCGATATGAGCAAGGTGCCCACAAAGTTGAGAGATCTTGCTGCAAATCGACCTCGCTCCAGGGCGGACATCAAGTAGCAAACCCTTTGGCTCCTGCTTTCCTGTTGCAATGCCTGGCCGGCCCTAGTTCTAGCCATCCAGCCTTCGCCAGCACACCCTATAAGCAATTCTGAAGCCCTCCACCCTTCTGATAATGACGGTGACATTGATTTAAAATTTGTTGGATGAAGCATTCGAGGTTCTCTGCTGGCAGGCGAAGCAGCCCAGTGACGTGAAGAAGAGTTTTACCTTTAAGCCATAGCAAACAGCATTTCTAGGCTCCTGCAGTTCCTTCGCACAAACATGCCTTTTACTAACGGCTTCCTTCCAGTTCCCGGGCAGTGTCCTACGAATTTACGAGTCCTGCAGCCCAGGCGGACATGCGTCAGCATTTTAGTGATCTGCCCACCTACTCAGTCACTAATTTCACCTACTGGGGTCTCCATTTCTTCTGATTGTACCACCATCAGTGGATGGGAATCACCACCTGAGCTAGCGAATACAGCTGGGGTCGCTGCAAATGTGGCAGCCCTGTCAAGCCCCTGTCCCCACAAGCCTCTGCTGTCTTGTACAGTACTAGAAAAGAAAGCCTTCCTGCATCCCTCAATACCACAAAGATGTTTGCTGACGATGTATTTCGTCGACTTGCCCTGCTCATGAAACCGCTCAACCCCAACCCCAGAACAAATATTTCCCCCCATTATATTATCGTACTCCATTGGGGCACTCGTTTGTCAAAGCAGGGGCTATGCCGACTGGGCACTTCTCACATTTCGCTCCAGCGAGCCAACTCCAACCGCCAGCAGAGCCACTGGAAGCAGCATGGTAAATCGATGGCGGTATGCCAGGGCCTTGAGAAGCTTTGGGTCTGAGGGCTCCAGACTTTGGAAATGCACCAGAAAGATACCAACATTGCGAATAAGAGCCGCAACACAGAGTGCAGGTAAAGCCAAGTAGCCCGAAACCGCCAACATCAAGGGAGAGAGAGAGAGAGAGAGTGAGAATGAGAGCAAGTAGTGTCATTCGGGATTGAAATTCTAATGCTCGCCTCATGCAAACCGCCCCATGCAAACCACATAGATTGTTTCTGACCACACTAGCAAGACTACGAACAACAACTGGAGAAGAAGCAACGGAGCCACCTTTGTCGATGGCATCGATTGCTTATACTTCATGCCTCTCTTGCTGCCGATTGATATGCAAAGCTACGATTCCTCTGCGAAAACTGGAGTAACTGAGGATTTGGAGATTGGCAGCTTGTGGGCTCTTGCGGGCCAAAATTTCAGGTACCCCATAAGGGCATCATTTTTTCTGAGCCTCTGGCCCAGCGTCCCTCTCCCTCGCCCAGCACCCAGCAACAGCGCCAGAGCAGAGCTGGTGGCAACAGCAACCATGAAGCGCCATCGTTTACCTCCCGGAGTGTACTTGTGAGTGTCACAAACTTGCGACCCTAGTTGGGTTATATGTGATACCAGTGCTCTCAATCCAAGCATTTTTGTTGGGGGCAGCGCGAGAGTCATGGTGAGATCGACGATGCTGCCAACGCTGGGCTTGGCTGGCTCGGCTTGGCTTCAGCAGAGGAGAATCATGGCAACTATGCACTTCAAGACACTGCTCTGGAAAATGCGAAATGAATGTGGGGCGAATGTAGGCGCGGCTGGGCTTAGGGGTTCAGGGTTTAGAGTTTAGTCAGCGATGTGACGGCCTAGCCTCCCCAATTAATGAAAAACCCGTAAATAGTCAGTCATGCGAACGTTGTGATACTACAAATGATCAAACAATGACACCGTCGTAGGAGATGTAGCAAGAATTTCATTGTTGGTCGGCAGTGCTCGAGGTCACGGGGCAGGAATAGAACCATGGATCAGGAAGGCATCCCCAAACAACCGTCCCTCTCACTCAATTTAGTTCAGGACGTGAACACGCGCCTGCATCAGCGCAAAGGTCAGCACATCCAACAAAAACAGAGTCTCGAAGATGTCCTTGGTGGTGACCACCCCATACTCCCACAAATTCCTTAATGTAACCCCAATATACTATAGTAGTTTCCATTTTCTTTTCCATTATCCCAATATATCCCCTATATAACCCCAATATAACACCTATAACTCCTATAGTTTCCATTTTCTTTTCCATTATCCCAATATTGCCCCCACAAATTTCTGCAACAATCCCGCAGCAGCCTGGATCTCCAAGCCCCCTCATTTGGTCAGCTCTGCACAACTGGGTCTACACCATGCGCTAGGCGTCTTCAGAAAACGTCCTCGACACAGTTGCTCCTTCATAATCTTGATGTCCGCGAGATGGAGCCCGAATTTTGGTAAATTCAATATTCTGTCACAGACTACCCTACATTTCTGGCACTCAGGGCGTGTCTGCGTTGTGGCACGGCGAGGCACGCCCTGTGACTGGTTCCTAGGCAATTGCTGAGATGCTCTTACTTCAAATGATCATTTTTTCATTTAGGGCTCAAGCATTCTGGCAAATGAAAATTTTCTGCAACGATGCCTCAGGTTCGTGTAGCATAAGGATTGTCAGGACAAGGTGGCGTGGCACCAGACACTCTGCGCCTGGAAGGCTACAAGACAATCGTACGGCTTGCGCAATCTGAGGCAGAAGGTCAAAAAAAGGACTCCAGCAAAAAGGTACTTGCAAATGCCGAAAGACGCCTCTCAGAAAACCATGTGTGCAAAGCACTGCTCTTCATGGCATTATTCATCGGAATGCATGTGACGAAGCCACAGAGATACACCAGAGTCGAGGTCACAAGCAGCGGACCTTGGCTCCCAGTTCCTGTTGACTTTGGAGAGGGAGAAGTTTCAAGCTTCATGCCCTGTAGCCCTCTCTTCCCAACACATACAACTCTTGACGAAGAGTGGTGGGATAGTAGTTTGCTAAACTCTAGCATAAGCAGCCAAAACCAAAAGGATCCTAGGCCATCTAATCCATGGACACATCCGCAGCCACCGATGCCCTGCATGGCGAAGCACTTTCAGCATGCAGCGGACCTTGATGTTCTTTTCTCTGCTCGGGGTTGGCCGTCTCAGGTGAATGGAAAGCATGACAAAGGCTGCGTTTACCTCCAACTGCGAAGAGCATCTAAGAAGCTGGCAAGCGCAACATAGCCACGCATACAAACAGCGAGAGCAGAAAAAAAAAAAAAAAAAAACAGAAACTCATTCGTCCAGGTGGTCGGGTGGTGTGGAATACTTGCCTGACACCTGGGAATTCCTCAAATGTGCCCCTCCAGAATCCTGACCCAACGGCCCCCTTATAATCCTAATATTACATCTCTAGGGTCCCCACTAGTGAGGGCCCATTTTGTTGAGCCTGAACCCTAAACCCTAAACCCTAAACCCTAAACCCTAACCCTAAACCCTACCCCCACCTTGACAAGTGCATCCACGGAGTGCCCGAGCCAGTAAGCCATGGTCTGCTTCTGCACAGGAAGCCAGCCTCCACGTGAGCTATAATCTAAACCTCTTCAAGCGGGCTTATAAAAGGGATTATGTAGGGGATAACTATAACCCCTATAATTCCCTTACATAACCCTAAATATATAGCTGTTTCCATTTCATTTTCCATCTTCTTTTCAATTTGATTCTCCATTATAAAGGGGGATACTAGGAGTTTAGACGATGGCCCAACCTCCATGTGAGAAAGTGTGAGTCCAAATCACCTGGAGCAAGGCTTGCGGAATCACGCTGGGGAAAAGGAAGCCTATGAGACCTTGCTTCAACAGACATGTCTTTATTGGGGTAATATTGGGGTAATATTAGGGTAATATTAGGGTAATATTAGGGTACTATTGTTGTATTTTCAAAGGAAGATGGCGCCCCGTGGAGGTACCAAGAATACAGCACTAAGAGTTCAGGTGTCCAAGTATGGGACACTCACCAGATATCCCTGTGTCCCAAACTACGGCTCCTGCTGCACCCTAAACCCGAAACCGCCAAACTCCTAAACCCTCAGGGAAACTGGTGACTTGAAAGCTGCAGGCCAGTCTCAATTGCAGTAAGCCAAATCCGCAGCAAATCCACTCGAAGTGACCCCCTGAAACAAGCATTACTAATTTTCTGTTATCATTTGTGTGGTTTAAATTCAGGGGTAGAAGTCTACCGCTGCGTTTTCGGGTATTTTGGGTATGCTGTCTCGCTCATGCTTTAGCAGTGTCCAAATGTTGGAGGCAGTGGGCACTTTACGGACTTTGGACCTTGTCAGGCTATCATTTCCATGGGACCACAAGACCAATCACAACAATAATAAACGCACCTTTGCAGGTAATTTGGATAATAAGACTAGTCATGAACTCCGACAAGTACAGTGTTCCAACTCTTTGGCGTCAACTCTATGATTAAAAATGTGGAAATGAAATTTCGTGGAATAACGCAAGTGAGCTGGCGCAAAATTACTTGGACTACTTGCGAAAAGTACTTAGAGTAACCCGATTCGGGGGAAACCCTGGCTCTGGGGGTAACTTGTTCTTTTCGTATCATATAGCTTGCCTTTAATAGGCTTTGAATTTTGTAGGGAATTCTCAGATCCTGGGCCAGGAATTTCTGCATTTAAATCCCTTATCAAACAAGCCTCGATTTCTTAGGGGTATCTTCACACAAATCTCAGTACTTCTGTCATCCTGACACAATAGACCTTCCATGGTCCTGGTGTTCCTTGGCATAACACTTAAAACTCACGAAAAGGTTGGTTAATGGGGGGACAGGAAGTTTAAAACGAAGAGCCCAGCATTTCAGAGTCTTTCTAATAGTTCGAAACTTATTGAAGAAGGGGTTTATATGGAGGAACACAGGAGCCCAGGATCTGACAAATCTTACAACTATTAGAAGCCTATTTGATAACGGACCTGTACGGGCAAAATCAGCAGCCCAAAATCTGAAAACTCTAAACTAAATCGATGGCTAATTGAATAAGGGATTTATGAAAAGAAAAGCTTATCTAGTAAGTGTTTATATAACAAGAATCAAGAGCCTAGGGCCTAAGAGATCCTCAGTTATAGTTTACTATTGATGACTATTCTTACTATTCTTTCTAATGTTACTACTCTTACTAAAAATATCACTATTACTCTGTAGTTATTAGAATCATTACTAATATCCTTGTTGCTTACTTTATTAATTGTTTACTAGTACCACTATTACTACTTACTACTACTACTACTACTGCTGCTACTACTACTACTACTACCGTTACAACTATTCGTATGATGACCATTGTTACTGGCATTATCTAATCTTACTATTATTACTATTGTTCAAATTTTAAGTGGTGGTAATGCGCACAACCGTCCGGGAGCTTCTCTATCTTATATCTAAGGGGCCCCATGATCTCCTCATTCTCCCAACATGTCCCTGGGCTTTTGTTTAAGGCGCCCTCCATTTTGAAACACTCCACCCTCTTATTCTCGAGTTTCAGAAGGACTCCAAACTGAGGTTGTGTTTGTCCATGTTCCGTTTGGCAGCTACATGACGTGGAATGCTATGGACTGTTTTGACGGAATGTGGCTTAAAAGATTGGCAACCATGCTGCTGACAACTTCTGACGCTGCGACCTAACATGGCTCCGCGTGTTCTCTTTCAAATTTTCTTCTGGTGAGATGACGCAGGATTAAGGCCGAGCTATTTTCCAGAAGACATCACATTGAGACAAGTCAAGTGTGTCACCAGCTTCATATGCACGCTGCCCATATGCAGACCGCCAACAGGCCTGGGTTCGCCCAGTGTAGCTACCCAATGTGCAAGGGGCTTGCTCTCCACGGAAAGCCAGAGCACTGAAACAAGAACAATTGCCACTGCTGCGGCCACGGCAGCCTCCGAACAATCGCCAATGTGGTGATGATACTCCTGCACAGCAAACTCCCAATAATGGCTGCAGAATGCGCTATCTTGCGTTCCCGGGCATGCGGGCTTCGACACCCACATCCTCAGATGCATCACAATCACAAAAAAGCATCTCCAAGCCTAGTACTCCACATGAGCTATAGTCTAAACTCCTTAAAGGGAGCTATATAGAGGAGTATTCTAGGGACTATTATAGGGGAGTATCATAGGGGATACTTGAAGTTTAGACTATAGCTCACGTGAGATGACTGTCTGTCAAGGCTCGGCATAAACCCGTGGCTTGCAAAGAGATCGTGGCTCACAGCCAAGGGGGGCGGAAGCCAGACATGCGTGTCGTTTAAGGGTGCAGGCTCCCGAGTCGGCTGAGGCCACCAGGGTGCTACTCGAGGCACCACATACCTGAGATAGTGTCCTAGATTCAGATACTATGTCGAACAGCCATCTCCATGTTCCGCTGGGAATCAAGTAAAAAGTATGTACCCCCAACAACAACTCTACATCACAAACCCTGAAGACTCAAGGCTCGAGGCACCTATCTGTTACTCAACAACAACCTAGAGAGCCCAACACCCCTTGATCTTCAAGTTTGCCCTAAATCATACAAGTGGTCCTTCAAGGTATAGTATTCAACTATGAGGCGTTGCACTCCCACCAACGCCAAAATCTGCAACAAATGGACGATCCAGATACATGGCTGCAGGGCCCAGGTCACAAGCCTCTGGCAGGCACAGCCCACCGACAACCTCAGTTGGGCATAAACTTGTTGGTCACTACTACGGAATGAAGAAACGTTTGAGCTGCAGTCTTCACTCCTAGTATCCCCCTTAGTACCCCCTATAATAGTGGTCCCCTATATAATCCCCTATATAACCCCCTCAAGGAGTTTGGACTATAGCATAGAAGAAAATGGAAGCTACCATGGGATTCTTTCAGGGCTGCTACGTGCATCCATTCGTTCATTCCCAACTAGCCGCTAGCCACAAGTGGGCAAAAAGATCTGAGATCTTGCAGTTCCTTAGAAGGCAGTTTTAGGCTTAGGGGTCCCCTCAAGATTTGCGTGCTGAGTATTTTGAGGCACGCACCTTTGAGCATAGTCGATCCCCGGGATTGCTGGCAACGTGCCACGAAACCCAGTATTATACTAGTTTCCATTTTCTTTTCCATTATCCCAATAAAACCCCAAAATAATCCCAAATTCGACAATCTCCATGACCATGAAGAGCCAACCGGTTTTTCACCACCCAAACCTACCTAGCCCACTAAGAGCGCTTGCCCAAGATGTGCTCACAGGAGTACTAGCAGTAAATCCTGAACGACCAATTCTGGCAAAAGATTCACCAAATACAGTGACCGGAGGTTCTCGCCAACCCAAAGCCCTGAACCTTAACACAGAGCGACACCACCTGAATCGTAAAATCACCCAAAAAAACTTGTTGTGGAATGTCCGGGCAACTCTGTGGTCATGCACACCCGTGGGCCCATACCTGGGAGCTTTGCAAATGGGTGGTTCCTAGGGATATGTGGGGGTTCTCACTTTAGGGGTCACTCATATAGCTTTCATGGGAATGGGATATACTTAGTGGCAGGAAAGACATAGGTAGGTATTATGGTCTATAGTATTTAGCGCTTATTTCCAGAAATAGCCACGATGGACTCGTTTGCCAAAGCTCCCACCTCGCCACATAATCCCCCCAGCCCCGGCCAGACATACTTGGCACAAGAAACCAAGCCATGCCAGATGCGACAAAGTCCATCCTGCAAGTGTGGGGTAGGGTTAGGGTTTCGGCATTTCTGCCTGGCAAAGATTTGATAGTTTGGCCGAGAATCCGCAGTCGAAGTTGGCCCAGGGTGGCCACAGCAAAGTAGCGACCACGGCAGGTTGCGGGGGTATCCGAAAGATTCAGCGACCTGCAAGTGCAAACAAATCAACTCACCAACCAACTGCCGCATCCAATTCTCCTTTGCCTCCTTGCCGTGGCCATCAAACACTGCACGGCTGGTGCATTGCGCACTGCTGGCGCCCATTGCCTCGGGGGATCCACCTGCAAGGACAACAAGCTTGTGCGTTCTGACCTCCATTTCGCCTGAACAAAATGAACCCCCAAACTCCAAATAGTAGTTTCCATGCAAATTTCCATTCTCCCAATAATTTCCATTATCCCAATAAGACCCTAACATAACCCTATATTATACCCACTACCATAGGTCCCCAACAACATGAGAAAACCATGCCAAGCAACCAATCCAAAGCAGCATCGTTCTTCAGTGTGGTAACCATCCCAGCAGGATGCCCGTCTCTTTTTTTCTTCGGCCTCCTGGGCACCAAAATGAATGCAAAGGCCTGGTTTAAATGCTTAGGACAGAAACCTTTTTATGTAGTTCCAACGTACACCTTGGGAGTTGTAGTCGACCATTGGTATGTGAGATATACATCTCCATATAACTCCAAAGAGAAACTGGTCTGGCAGCTTTTCAAGATGTAGTTGCGCCTTGTTTTTGAAGCCCTGTTTCTCCTCTGTGCGCACGTGGGGATTGCGGCAACAAGCCATGTAGCTGTACCCATCCGTCCAGCAATGGCGGCCAGCTGGAGGCTTGTCTACCTGCGCAGTCAAACGTGTAAACGTGGTAGAAAAGTTGATCCGGTTGTGGTAGAAATTAAGTAAAATTGTTGTTGTGATAATACCCACGCTGATAGCAGTGGTTGCACGAGTCGGAGCTAAAAAACAAGACATTGCGGCAGAGACTGCATTTAAACAACAACTTGCACGTTTGGTTGCACTACCGCTACTTGTGCAACAGGTGGCCACGCACCACCTGCTACAAAATAAAGCTGGCAAGGATGCTTTCCGAAAATTGTTGATGCAAGTACCGACTACGTAGCTATTCTAAATTCATGCTGGTTGTCAAAACTTCGGGCCAGAGCTGATTATTTCTTACTTTGCTGCACAGCTGCCTGCTTTGGGAACCCAACTGTTGCCACGAGAAGCTCTTCCTCTCTCGGGCCAACTGGGTCATGAGCTGCTTCAACCTCCGCACCTGCCCGTAGCCATTTCGGTTTTCTTGCGATGTTTCTTTGGAAGTCTGCTGATGATGTTTCTTTGAAGCCCGTCGCCTAATGAGCGAACAAACGATGATCTGGAAAACAACATGTCCAAATCTGGCAGCTGTACAAAAAATAACCGGGTAACATTACAGCGTTCATGGTGAGAATATTTTGCACAATTAAACACGTTGACGAAAACACATGAAAACAACATAGCTGATGTCCACAACCGGCCTTGAAAGCAGCATCGGTCGAAATGGCGCCTCGTGCTCCAACATGATGCTCGGCCACTTACTCCTCTCGGGTCGTGCACTTGACTGGACCAAACATTGTCTTGAGTGCGGACGGTCTGACAAGCTCGCCAGACACGGATCCTCATCTGCAATCATCAGTACATAAGCAAGGTTAAGGGTCGCGCAGCGCCAAGAATCAACGAAGAATCCGCATGCTGTGTGGCACACCTCTCCTTCGGATAGATCACAACAATTCTCCAAGGTCAGCAACGGCGGCTGCCAACAGTCCTACGCGCACACACTGCCAACTAAGCTTAGGCCTATGCAACGCAAGTGCGGAAATTAAGCACAAGGCGATGTCAACAGGGTCAAATAAGCCTTCTTTGCAAACCTGATCAAGCCAGTCCTTGCCAGGATGGTACGTTTCGAAAACGCCGAAGACATCTTCGGAGTTGGCAACGGCAATGAGTTTGACAAGCTGATCGTTCAGATCAATGGGTTGGCAGCAGTATTCGAAGGTGAAATAACCATCCCAACAATTGGCATTGCCACCTCAATGTGCAGGAATGTTTACCGAGCTTGCAATTCACGCAACACTCTTGGGCACTGCGCTCGGCAATACGTCCGCCTTCGCCAAACTTTTCATTGCAGCAAACGTCGTACGAAAAACCAGCTATCCAGCAGTCCGCATTGCCCGCCATTCTTGCGACATGCACATGTTAGACTTTAAGCTTGTTATCATTCACCACAAAAAAATGGACAACACTAAAAAGTTGGAAACTGCATCCGTGAAACAAATATACAACATGGAAGTACTGCGAGCGTTCATGCGCAGCCCGAGCCATGCACGCCAAAAAAACTGACAGTCTGCGTCACATCATGTCATCCAAAAACTTTAACCTGCTGTTCCAATGAGCCTTGAACATCTTGAACAAGTCAAAAATGCTGATTGAGCAAAGGCCAACGGATCTTCGGCTGAAAGTGCCATGATCAGGATTTACGCATTTCCACATGCGTTTAACGAAATATTGAAAATATTTTTCTTTGGGTGGGTCTCGGGTTTCAATGTTCGGTCAAGCGCTTCCTCTGGGAAATGCCTGCTGTACTGCAGCGGAGAAAGAAAAACTGCGACAAATCACAAATATTGATTGCCCTTGTGCTGCTTGTGCTGCAGCGGCTGATGCTGCTAAAGCACTGGTGCCCCGATTGTCACATGTAAGTGTCCTTCACCCTGATGCTGTTTGTGCTGCAGCGGCTGCTGCAGCTGCACCGGCGCTGCGTGTTACTGTCTGCTTGTTCCGCCTGATATGTCCCGGAAAAGCTGCTCAATCACAGTTCTGTTTAGCTCTACCAAAGTACAATTGCACTGGCTACTGACATGCTTGCACTGCCTTCAACCGATGCCCGCTGCCTTCGCAAAGGGAATTCGCAATCTGCACACGGCTATGCACGCTTTTATGCCCACACGTGTCCCAAAACTTGAACTTGGGTGAGTGGGTGGGAAAGAAGAGTGCGGTAAGAATTCTCACCGTAACCGAAGCTGTGCATTACGGAGCATTTGCCACAACCTCCCGACTTGGGAAATCAAGTCTGCCGTCAACTCCACTTCATTGCACGCCGACTCACACAATGATACTTGGTAGTGCGCACGAACTTTGACTGTTGAAGTTGGAGAGTCCAAAATATTGACACGGCCTAGTGGGCCTAATTCCTGGATATAATTATGAACCAAAGTTGCGAGGTGCAGAAACCTGCCTCGCCACTGCAGTCTGATTAACTCCTCATTCCAGAAAGGAAACCAATACGTAGCTCCACCTGAACTTGGCAGACAAACGTCTTGAGAATCACAGGTTGCTTTGAGGATCTGTTGCAGGCGACGACAAAACAGGATGGCAGACTGCAGCCGTAGCTTCTTTTGCGGCATCATAACTTTGATGCTTCTCCTCATAAAGCTGACGACGTATGGAACATCCAACTTGACGCTTTGCTGGCGTGCTCCGCGAGTTCTTGCCTTGACCTGCTGCAACTTGAGAAAAACAACGTTCAGAATACCAGTCTGCGACGCTGAAAAGCAGTCGCTGACATGCAGCGCAGTGAGTTCGCAGGGACGTAACAAGGCATAAAAGCCTATCAGCATCAACAGCACCAAGCGACGCCATCCCCAATCCAGCACTGTTGTCACCGCAGCTTGAAGGAAAGGCAACGGAAAAGGAGAGTGGACCTTTCCGGGATTCAGGATTTCCCACGTTGTTAAGTCGCCATGGGCCCGCCACAAACGTCGACCGTTTCTGCATACTTTCTCTGCGCCTCCCCCTGTTCGTACACAACTTTGCCGACCTCCATTGGGTCGGTCCGTGCCAATTGAGCCAACGTTGGAAGATCCACATCCTCCATCTCCAGCCAAGCCGCAAACCCAATAGACCAGATTAGATAAAGTTTTCTTTTTTTTGTCTATTTAGACAAATTTTCGTCTGTGTCTATTTAGACTTCGACAAATCGGCGGATTTGTCTACCCAAACTTCGACCAAACTCGGAAACTTCGGGTTACGCGCCGTCAAACTTCGACCAAACTTCGGGCTGATGTTTTGCACTAAAGTGCGCGAAAGCCAACCCCTGTGCGTGTTTCGTGCATTTTTGCTCTCCAGGAACTTCGGATTAAGACCTCGATTTGTCTACGAGTCTACCCAAACTTCGATCAAACTTCGGCCAGACTGCAGGTTCTAAACCCGAAGTTTACCCGAAACTGTCGAAATTTTGGGTTTCAAATTTGTCTATTTAGACAAATTGCGTCAATTTGTCTACTTAGACAAAATTTTGTCTAATCTGGTCTATTGGGAAACTGTGGGAAACTGGTCCCGCACTTTTTCGCGAATCGCAGCTGCACTCTTGGTGACCCTGCCTTGCTCGAGGGCTATACAGACTACGAACCAACGGAAGCAAAACCACCAGAACAAGCGAACAGCTGCGTGGCCAAAAAGAAGCCAACGACCCAAGATCTTGGGGTTCCGGAACAGCTTTCAATAATATCATGTGCATCTGCTACTTTGCCAGCTTTGATACTCAGAAGCCACTTTGGTAAGCTCACACGCGGTGGCCGCATCCGCTTTTGGCTGGAGGGATCATCTGCTCTGAGAGCCCACGTAGGGCTATAGAAACCATTAGCGTAGACATTCTTAGCTAGTTGGATAGCCATGGATTTGCGAAGCATTGGGTTAAAAACCTCACTAGAGCTTCTCCCTTTTGCATGGGACCCCACGGTTACCAGCGAATCCTGAAAAACAACCAATGTGCTGTTCACTGGCGCAGTTTGAACCAACGTCTTCAAGACATGTCCTTCAAGAAAGTTAATGTGGTTCGGCCTGGGGGATTTGTAGGCCCTGATGGTTCGCCACAGCAAACTTTAAGCCAAATGAGTTGACCATAAATGACTAACTAACCGTTGCGCAGCCCTGGGGTCTTGGGGCCACTGCTTGAAATTGAGGTGACACGCCATCATTGGAGAACAAGCACTTCCTTTCAGCAAGTTTTTCTGACAGGCGGGCCACCTCGTCACCGAGTGCGACTAGGAACGCTGCAGTTTTGGCGGTAAGTGCACCCTCCAAACGTGCATGCTCTACTTTATGTACATCGACATCGTCTCCCCAAAGAACCGAACTCAGGAGAAGTACACAGGAGAGCAATAAGTTTCAGATAGGAAGTTCAAACCTACATTGGTCTAACCTTTGATTCGGCAAGCGTTTCCAACTAGCACGGGCGAAGACCTCGAACAGCATGAATGGGAAACACGCGAATGAAAACATAGATGTAAACTATAGTTGGTGCCTGATACTTCCCCGATTAGAACGCGCAGAACACACACAGCAATAATTCAAAAAAATGTAAAATTACACACACATCTAGGAATATTGGCTCCTGTGGGTGGTTTTGCCCTTGCTTACTTTCGATTTGGAAGGCTTGATCATTATGGAAAGAATCTGATATTGTATCGCTGGACCTTGATTTGAAGGTTTCAGGCAAAGAATATCAGCATTGCAAGATA